CCCCCCCCCCTCCCCCTCGCCCCCCCCCTTCCCCCCTCCCTCTCTCTCCCTCTCTCTCCCTCTCCCTTCCTCTCTCTCCCCCTCTCTCTCCCTCTCTCTCCCTCCTTCCCTCCCTCCCTCCTTCCCTTTCTTTAAATTTGTTACAGGGCATGGTGTGATCACCAGAGACAGAGAATGAAAGAGATCACCACCCCAGGGGGGACGGTCACACCACAGTCCCTTCTCCTTCGGCCTCCTCTCGGGATCTTGGGCACACATGCCCACGTGCCAGTGTCTTTCAAGCTGCCAGGTCCAGGGCTCGAACTGCACAATTGGCCGTGTAGGACCCAGCTGCCTTAACCACCATGCCATCAGTTGGCCCAGTGACTACATCTTTCTAAGCCTCAGTTTCCTCATAGTAAACAATAACTATTAACTATAATTATTTATTTTCCTTGCAGAACAGAAAGATGATCAAATTTTCATTATATGTGCAAAGGCAATCTATTACAGCTATAATCAATGTAACAGAGACTAGGAAATAATATCACCACCTTAAATGGAAATAAAACACTACCATTTTCAAAAGATTCTAGATGCCAGCATATCACTCAGACCAGTCTTCCTTGTAACCACTTCTTACCGGGGAGAAGTACAGGTTATCACTCCACAGGGAGGGAGGCAGAGCTTTGGTGACTTTCAGTGATTTGCCCAGAATCAGGTCTTCTTCTAAGTTTATTTATTTAATTATTCCATAAGAGACAGAGACAGAGCGAGAGACAGACAGAAGAAGGCTAGGGGTGGAGGAGAGGGTCCTCACCCCTGGACCCACCCTGCCACCCCTGCCTCGGCCGCTAGCACACATGGCCAGGCTTGCACAGGGAGGGGGACGGGCCTGGTCCTTGCTGTGTGGCTTCAGTACTGTGGGCGCGGCCTCCACTGTGCCGCCGCAGCTGGCCCCACCCCGGCTTGTATTTTCTAAAGGCAGGTGGGGTCTAGAGACTAGGTCACTGATCAAAGATAACGGCAAAAAGGAGAGCGCAGCTTGTTTAGAGTTGAGAGAGAGAGAGAAATAAAGGGAAGGAAACAAAGGATGCGAAGAGAGCTCGAGGGCACAGCTGGGAACGTTTGCAGCCTCCCCACTTCTGAGATGGGCCCTGAAAGGTCTGTGTGAAGAGCTGAAAGCTAAAATCTCTCTGCATCCAAGGAATTCCAAGGTATCAAGGTGGGTTACATTCCCAAAGGGAGCTGGGCGGGCTCCACGGGACCGAGCGGTGGAGGACACCCCCAGAGAACAAAGCCAGCTGGGAGACGGTAGTCATGGTGGCTTCACAGCGGGGACACGTTAGAGAAACGGCCGAGGCGATTTCATCGTGAGTGACCATCACGGTGTGAATGTGCCCAGGCCTAGTTGGGGCAGCGGCATGGCAAGCCTGCAGGGCACTGTCCCGGATGTGGCCCCCGCGCACCTGCAATCCTGCAACCTTCACGAAGCTCTCATAGGCCAGCCCCAGCGCCGGCTGCTCTGGGGCGGTGGATCCTGACGTACAGGATGCAGTGACAGCCAGGCCTTGGGGCATGCAGACAGCCACATTAATTACCCAGGAGCCTGTCGGCATCGCTGTCCCCGAGTGGGCTGTCCCAAATGGCGGGACAGATGGGCTTTCCAAGTCAGGGCGCTCCAGGGGCATGCCCCCCTCTGCTTCTTCCAGGAGGTGCCCAGGGCTCTCCTGACTGGGATCCCACAGTGTGCTCGTCCAGATGCTCTGGACAGTGTCCCCTCCTGACTCGGGAAGTTGAGCTTCTGGAACTCATTGCATGGCTGAGCGTGCTGCCCGGGGCCGGCTGGCTGTCCCGCGCTGAGGCGTGGGGCTGAGCGTGGCCACCTCGCACTCCTGCAAGCGCTGCTGTGTCCACAGCCTCCAACTGCCTGCTTTGTTTAGAATTAGGGTGGACAAAACAGAGGCTGAGCGTCTTAAAGGGAATTGGCAAGGGGGAGGATGGCGGCCTCGGATTCAGTGTGCAGGGCCTGTTTACGTGGGGTGCCGCATCTCAAGATGGACATGCAGGTTTCTGGCCTGCTCCTCCGACTGGAAACTGGAAACCAGCCCTCGGGAAGACGATGCACCCGGCTCTCCGGCTGGATAGTCTGTGCGCCGTCCACCCACTGGCAGAAAGTGGAAGTGCGGGCAAGGCTCCTTTGCTGCTTCTCCTCTAGGACCTGGGGAGTTAATTGAGGTAATAAGCCATTGTCTGAGCTGAGCTGAAGGTAAGACCTGGGAGAGTTTTTAGGAGAAGCATATCTAATTATACTTGAATCACCCACACGACAGTGAATTTCTCGAGTAGCTCTGGCTCCCCCAGGAGGTGCTTTCACTCTACGAAGTGCAAGTACCCAGAACCCCCTTACCCAGAGACAACGGAGAGGCTGCGAGAGGTGTCTGAGGGCCTCAAACAGTGCTCGGTGCCTTCAACCACCTCCCCGCAACTTCTGGTTCACCCGCCTGGTTACTCCAAAAGCCCAACAGCGGGGTTCTTTCCAGTATGTTCCTCTTTCACTCTCCACCAGCCAGGAAGAGATGCCCACAGTAACTAAAACTGCGTGGACTGGCGCAAAACAGACACAGCCGAAGGGAGCAGAGTGGAGAACCCAGAAACCCGTGCACACACAGCAGCCGGCTTAGACGAGGTCCCAGCACACTCCCTGGGGAAGGACAGTCTCAATGAATGGCGCCGGGAAAGCAGGACATCCACACGTACCTCCCGGTGTATGAGACCAACTCCAAGTGGGCTAGAGGCTTAAATGTGAAACCCTCACCGTAAGATTACTAGGAGGAAAGGGCGGTGCCTCGGGACGTGCTGGAAGCCATGTGCAGGTTGGGGTTGGTCCCCACAGAGCGCTGTGCCCTGGGCATGTGTGCGCCCGAGATCTCGGCTGGTGGAAAGGCTCGGGCAGGACTGCAGCCTGAGACCCTGTTGAGGGTGCGTGTGTGTGTGTGTGTGTGTGTGTGTGTGAGTGAGTGTGCATGTGTATGTCTGTGCTCTAATGAAAGAAAGATTACAACAGTGAAGAAGACATGTCCCTAGGAGACTGATTGGATATCTTTCCTCTGACTTAAACCCTTCATTGGCTTCCCAAGGACCTCAGCAGAATGTCACACTCTGTCATCATAGGAGACGAGGCCAGGTGGGCCCTGCACAATTTCCCAAGCTCACTGTCCCGGTCTCCACCCCACACGATCTTTTCCCGTACTTCTGGAGTGGGGCATCCTGCCCTGCACTCTTGTGCCTGCTGAAAACACCCTACTTCTGTCCCTGTCTGGGCTTTGCCACGGACTTCAACTCCACCTCCTTTGGGAAGCCTCACCCTCCCACCAAGTCAATGCACAGACCCATGGTAACCGTGCAACGGAGCGAGCACGGGAAACGCTCGCGCTGCCCTACTGGGAGCTCAGGCAGCGCTGAGCATGAAGTGTGGCCGCTCTGCTCCACTGAGGCTTCCCTGTGCCTGGGACCGTCCCTCGAGCTGCAGGGGAACACTGTACCTAACTCCCTTTACTGACATCTGTGTTCACACCTCACTCTTTTCAATAGACTTCATATTTTGCTGAGTAATTACCTTTATGTAAAGAATTCTCTTAGTGGGGCCAGCATGGTGGTTACGGTGCTGGACTCCCACGTGGCTGACCACTGTCTGAGTCCGGATTCTGCAGCTTGTTTTCTCAGTTTACCTCTCTATTTCTCTCTGGTAAGTGCATATGCCTTATAGCAAGTTTAAATTATAATAATAATGATAATAACAATAAATAAAATGACATAAATGATTCCTTAAAAAAAAGAATGCTCTTAGTTTGCATGGTTTTATTCTTTTATTTAAAATGAATTATTTTATTTAACTTTATTTATATATTTTTAATTTGACCAGAGAGGAACAGAGAGAGAGAGAAAGAGAGAGAAAGCCGCCAGGTCTG